AATACAATATATTCAATTTAAATTAAAACAATGTATTAATTTCAAGTCAATACAATGTACCATTCAATTCAATTTGAATTAATACAATATATTCAGTTGGAGTCAGTACAATGTATTATTCAATTCAATACAATAATTCAATTTAAAATTGAATACAATATCGAAACAGTTCGAACGTACGATACGATAGATTCGCACAGATAAAATCAAGTCCATCTGATTAATTATACAATTCCTAAGGTAAACAGATTTGAACACATGTTCTGACATTCTGACATTAAAGATATTCAAGTTAATCTTATCAGGTCCTTGGAAATTTCATTATCCAATCAATGCTCTCATTATCAAACTCAATTCCATTTATCAGAAATGTTTTCGGTTATTACCTGTTTTCGTCCGAGAAATGAACCCCGAAAAATTGAATGAACACGGCTATAGTACAATAGTTCAATTTAAATTAAAACAATGTATTAACTTCAAGTCAATACAATGTACTATTCAATTCAATTTGAATTAATACAATATATTCAATTGAAGTCAGTACAATGTATTATTCAATTCAACACAATGTATTCAATTTAAATTGAATACAATATCGAAACAGTTCGAACGTACGATACGATAGATTCGCACAGATAAAATCAAGTCCATCTGATTAATTATACGTATAAACTTCAAGTCAGTACAATGTCTCATTTAATTCAACACAATAATTCAATTTAAATTAAAACAATGTATTAACTTCAAGTCAGTAAAATGTTTCATTCAATTCAATACAATAATTCAATTTAAATTAAAACAATATATTAACTTCAAGTCAGTACAATGTATTATTCAATTCAACACAATGTATTCAATTTAAATTGAATACAATATCGAAACAGTTCGAACGTACGATACGATAGATTCGCACAGATAAAATCAAGTCCATCTGATTAATTATACAATTCCTAAGGTAAACAGATTTGAACACATGTTCTGACATTCTGACATTAAAGATATTCAAGTTAATCTTATCAGGTCCTTGGAAATTTCATTATCCAATCAATGCTCTCATTATCAAACTCAATTCCATTTATCAGAAATGTTTTCGGTTATTACCTGTTTTCGTCCGAGAAATGAACCCCGAAAAATTGAATGAACACGGCTATAAAAGCACACGGTCACAGAAGAACCGACGAAAAGTTGGAATTGAAATTTAAACGACTTTTACGAGCCGCCTTTCAATGCAAAAGAACGACTAATTGGCGTAGCTTGTCGTCGAATAATGAATGTTAATTTCTGACAGGGACTCGTCATTCAATTAAGCTTCTTCTCTGTTTCTCTTTGCTCGCGGTCTTATCACGTCCGTTCGTTTCCAAGTAAAATCCTTTTTCGTCAGGTGAGACGTCGAAATAAATTCGATCGATTACGCAAATTTACACCGTTTACGACATTTTCGAGTGCGACGATCAATTACGAAATTAAATTGCTTTCGTAAGGTTATCGGAACGTCGATATCGTTACAGAAAATTTGCATGCATGCATAACGCTCCTTCGGATTTTCTTTATCGGGAATTTATGCAGCGCTCGATTATCTGTGTAATGATTCATCGATGTTAAACTTCCGAGAATGAGGCATAACCGTGAAATATTTCAACGGATTTTATGTTCCTCGTACGGCAATTTTAGTTCATTAGATTTATTGGATCATTAGATCTTTGTGGATTGATATGTTAAATCTGCGTAATGTGCTGGACTTTGAAACTATGACGTAATGTACTGTGAAATATGAACTAATGTGAAGCTTAAGTTTGCTGGAAATTACTATATAAATTTTCTTTCGTTTAATATAGATTATTTGCTTGAGTAAATAGCAGGTTAATTAATTTACAAAATGTTAGCAAATTTATTGTATAATTATAGTAAAATTATAGTTGAAATTATAGTTAGAAGTTGTAGTTGAAATTATAGTTGAAATTATAGTTACAAGTTGTAGTTAAAATTATAGTTGAAATTATAGTTGAAACTATAGTTAAAAGTTATAGTTGAAATTATAGTTAAAATTATAGTTACAAGTTATAGTTAAAATTATAGTTGAAATTATAGTTGAATTTATAGTTGAAATTATAGTTGAAATTATAGTTAAAATTATAGTTACAAATTATAGTTAAAATTATAGTTGAAATTATAGTTGAAATTATAGTTAAAATTACAATCAAAATTATAGTTAAAAGTATACTTAAAATTATACTTAAAATTACACTTAAAATCGCAGGTAAATTTGCAATAAAACTCCACTAAAAATTGCATTAAAAATTTCATTTAAAATTAAACATAAAATAACACTAAAATAATAAAATATGCTATATAACATATAAATGATAAATAATAACTAAAGTTCATTATTGTCACTTATTTCGAAGCACATATTTAACTGACATATCACATACGAATAAAAAGGATACGTCATGAAGCATATCAAGTAATCGATGCATCGCGAAAACACGATTTGCGGAAATCATACAAACAAGATGGTCATTTGCAACGATAATCGATTTATCAAAACGTATCAGCGCTTTCCTAGCACGAGATACATGTTGGTTTTGTCGGTTTGTTCGCAACGTTTAAAGTGCAAAGTTCAAATAGAGTTGGATCTCGGTTATCCAAACACTGCCTCGATTTACCTAACAAATGTTCTAAATATATGTCTGTAAGCGAGAAAGAGTGTAGAATAAATGTACGTATACATGAAATCCATAATATAGTCTTTCGTTGGGGAACAAATTCCTGGATTGTTGCATTATTCAAAAGAAAATCAAGCTGTATAATCTGTTACACGAGACATTTAACCTTGATCAAGGTTTTATAAATTTCATTCTCAGAATTTACTTGCTTTGTCAAATATTTAGATTTCATAGAAATTTTGTAGAACACTATACTGTTGTTTTTGTAAAAATAAAACAGAACTTATTATGCAAAAACAGCAAAGAAATCTGTGAAAGAGGTCTTCAGATATTAACAGCACAAATTTAATTTAATGCCTACTTCACTTAATTTTTCAAACTTCACATTATATGAGATATTAATTTTCAGTGCATGTTTCGTTAAAAAATTTGCGTCACTAATTTTACTTCAAATAACAGCTTTTGTAGGTCTGGGTTACAATTAACACCGGTTACATCATTCGCAGCAGTCAGAATTTTTAAATTTAAACATTTTTTTATTGACACAAGTCACCTTCGAAACTATATTTTTCTTTGTCAGTCGTATTCGCAATGTCCTCGTTATCTAAAATTAAAAAGTACGAATTTATTTTCGTCCTTAGAAACGTGGTTATAGTCGGACCCTCTGTCACTCATGCATTGTCAAATTTTTATATTCTCGAATTTATATTTTGCAATTTTTAGGTTTGCAAGTTTTTTAATTCTCAAGCTTTTAAACATGTAGCTTCAAATTTCTAAATTATTATAATACTTGTCCATACATACCGAATATCTATGTTCATCAGTTTCTGGGTCTTCAACTTTACTGGACCCCTAAATCTCTAGATTCGCAAGTTTATATGTATCTAAATCCCCATATGCAGATGTTGCTATGTCCCTTAACTTCTAGACCCACAAGTTCCTGCATCCCTAAATTTTTAGATCCAGATATTCCTATGTCCCCACATCCCTAAGATCCAGATACTCCTATGTCTTCAAATTCGTAGATCCACAAGTTCCTATGTCCCCAAATTCTTAGGTCCACAAGTTCCTATGTCCCCAAATTCTTAGGTCCACAAGTTTCTGTGTCTCCAAGTCTCTAAATCCAGATGTTCCAAAATTTCTAGGTCCACAAGTCTTTCCTTTGCGTCCACAAGACTTTACATCCACATATTCCCATGTTCAATCTGAAACTTCACAATTACTCAAATTTCCAAACTCTCCCAGTTTCCAGGTCTCTAAAAAGAATTCTCCTCGAGAACTCTTCTCTACTGCATTTTCCCTATGGAATCATAATAAACATCCCAGCATCGTGTCTTAAAAAATGAGTGACCCGATTAACAGATAAACTATCAAACTACCTAATATTTCTCCTAGAAGATAAAATTGTGTTGGACAAGTTTGACGTCGTGAAAAAGGAGGAAATAATTGATTTACTCAGGATTCGTCACTTACCTCCCCTAAAGTGTCTCGCTGCACTATTTCCGTCGGCTTTCGGTGCTGTCGTAAAAAGACGCGTGGACGTGTATTAATAGATTGCTCGAGTACGCATCCTCGGTGACATCGCGTACCATCGAAGTTCAGCCAAAATTGTAACGCGAATTTCTCTTATGCAACCTTCAGCCAACATCCAGATAGCCCGTGTAGAGTATTTGAGTCACCGAATCCGTCCTTCTGTTTGAAAACACACCGACTTTGAATTTTAGATTTTGCGCCGGTTCCTCGTCTTATTGCCTTGTCTTCTTTGTACCTTTGACGGACGCGTTGTGTGTGACGCTTACATTTACATGTGAATGTATATTATTCTGAACTTATTTGGTTGTTTAGTTGCTCTCTTGTTCACTTATTTACTTGTTCACTTGTTCACTTATTTACTAATTGGAAATATTAGGGGTACCGAAAAGTAATCAAAATTTCTTCGATGATTTCAAAGTTTTTCTATGAACAATCGAAGGACTTTTTTTAAGAAGCGAACAGTTGCCTTTACGCTGGCAAAAAGCGTTAGAAAGTGATGGAAATCATTTTGTTGATTTAAGATTTCTTTAATAAATAAATATTTTTCGCCAGCAAACAAACGTTTGATTACTTTTCGGTTTAATACTTGTATTAATCACTTGGAAGTATGAATGTAAGCTCGGTAAGATTTGGTCCACAATAAAAATACCTAAGCAAATTTTCAGCTGCTTCAACGTAGAAGTCAGCGTTCTAGTAGGACGTTTATCTTCCTATGATAAAATGCTTGTAGTTTATCATTTCTTGAGTATGTCCAGATTTGTAGGTGTATTGAATTATACTGATGATTTATGTTTGTTTCAGAATCACGAGTATGGCGGGTACGGAGACGAGCCACGACGTAAAAGGTATGTTCTTTTCATCTCTTTATGATTATATCACACTTGATGAATAAACGTCCCATAGTGCCACAGTCAAACTAACAAGCACACTAATTCATCAGCCAGCACAAATTCATCAACTACACAATATTGAGTATACTCGGACCAAGTGTCATCAAACAGCATCTTTCACTACGATTCATCCTTGCGTTTACAGTTAACACAAGTATTGTATATATCAGTTTTTCAAATAATTGAACAGCAATGAGTAGAAGCATGATCAGAACTTCAGTTCGAATCCAATGACACCGTGTCCCGGTGCAAATGCCATTTCCCGGGGTGGAGAACTCTGTTGGCGCGTTTCTCGCGACCGAAAATTAGCGAAGTCAAGTTCCATGGAGGCGGATATCGTTCGATATCAAATTCCCGTCGCTCTGAATCACGCTTAACGCTCGAGTTAACTTCTTATTATTAGACTTGGCCGGAGCCGACTCATTGGGATCGGTCGGAAACTTTGGTGACCGGCTGCGACGTTTTAATTAATTTCGACGTGTAAGCGTCTGTCTCGCGACGTTATCACCGGCCAATTCCGCCCCTCGACACCTTCAATACCAACTGTGTTTTAAAACACGCGCGAACCGGCTTCAACGCTTGTATTCGCTTCGAAACGGTAGTATGAGATTTTGCTAAATATGGCAGATCATCTGATGTTAACTGATATAGTTCTAATCTGATGGTTCGTAGATGCATTTTATACAAGGTTTCACATTGTAGAATAAATTTTTTGCATTAAAATTAACGAATTTTTTTTATTCATAGAAATGTTCATACATATAAATTAAAAAAAGTAGATTTTTAAAAGAAAATGAGAGGAGGAAGTTTTCTCGTTTCCCAGTTTCAAGTTGGAATATTTCCCGCGGCGAATGTTTAATCACTCGGAGTAGAAGCAACAGATTCGCGGAGGATTGGCCACTTTGAATTGCAGAACGGGAGCACCTCGGTTTCCCATTTCTCTTTTTTCGCCGCGGAAAAATGGTAGGCGGGTGAATTTCCAATTGGTTGCGGGTCCGAAAGAATACGCTGATGAAAAATGTATAGCCAGCTATATCTATCAATAAGGGTACTTCCCGTTCGTTGTATCTCGAATCTTGGAAGGAAATTACCGGAATACAATTTTTTCTTCGTTTCATTTCTCTCCCGAGTAATCGAATATTCGCTGCGGAACCCTTTTCTCGACCCGCTCGCGCCGCTTCTGATTTAATAAAAAATTTCGCCAACTGTGCACCGGCTGATGTAATTTCGCTGCAATTCAACGTTGCCCCAAACCCCTGCGATTCGACGGGAAAATGCAGAATTTTTCACTGTTCCATACCCGTAAGAATTGCTCGATGTATAATGGAGATACATCGAGTTACCGTTTCGAACGAGTAAATTGTTACGATTGTTCGGTGACGTCGCGCTCAATTCACTCGTGAAAAAATTGCAAACATCGTCTATTTTTTAGCGCGTCGATCTATACAAGCTGACGTACGAAATTTCTGTTGTAAAATTCAATTTTAAACTTCTCTCTGTACGATCGCTAGGGCTGTTACACCTCGAGATAAACGTAGTCAAAAGTTTGCGCTGAGAGATTACCGATGTTCTACACAAGAGAAAATGGTTATTTTGTTTTAAAAATTTTTATTATACATTCATGTTTATAGAGAAGTTATATATTAGGTTAACTATTTTTAAAATAATTATATTTCTTTCATTTAGGTTGTCAGATTAATATGTATATATTTTACTGTATTTCTTTCAGTTAGGTTATCAAATTAATATGTATATGTTTTATTATATGGTTGTCAGATTAAATACTTTTCTTTGAATAATTAATTCTAATTTTACAAGAATTTTTTAAGTAATTTGAAATGCCATGAATGGGTATTAAATATTTATTTGAGACATGGTAGAAAATTATGAAGTAGCTTAATTATTCAATAATTATTACAGAAATATTATTCTATATTATAGAAATGGTGTTGCATTAAATTAATATAATGATAATATTTATTTTATTTTGTTTTGAGAAGTAAAGACTATTATTTTAGTAAAGACTATTAAGCTGTTTGACTATCACATTAAATAGAATAGCTTTTTGTAAAGAAATTATGGAAATTTAATTAATTGTTTCTTTGTCGTGTTTCAGAGAAGACAATAACAAACCAAATCACGTTCTCCTCTTCACAATTATCAATCCAGTCTACCCCATCACTGTGGTAAGTGTTCTTTACATCTTTTACTTTCTAATTTATATGTTGAGTACAGAAATAGATTAATGTATGATGAAAAATACGTACGTAGAAAAATTTGTGAATTTGACAAATTTGGGGAGAAAGATATTTATGGCGTGAGAAGTTTGGAGTTGGAGGAGATAGGAAGTGGCGATTTGAAATAGGAGAAATTTAGAACTCCAGAAATTTAACATTGAAGAAGTTTGAAATAGGAAAAATTTGGACTGTGAGAAATTCGAAATAGGAGAAATTTGAAATAAGAGAAATTTGCATGTTGAAAAATTTGAAATTGGAGAAGTTCGGAATTGGAGAAATTTGGAATCAGAGAAATTTGGAACTCGAGAGATTTGAAATAGGAGAAATTTGGAATTAGAGAAATTTGGTACTCGAGAGATTTGAAATAGGAGAAATTTGCATCTTGAAAAATTTGAAATTGGAGAAGTTCGGAATTGGAGAAATTTGGAATTAGAGAAATTTGGAACTCGAGAGATTTGAAATAGGAGAAATTCGGAACTTGAGAAGTTTGGTACTCGAGAGATTTGAAATAGGAGAAATTTGCATCTTGAAAAATTTGAAATTGGAGAAGTTCGGAATTGGAGAAATTTGGAATCAGAGAAATTTGGAACTCGAGAGATTTGAAATAGGAGAAATTTGCATCTTGAAAAATTTGAAATTGGAGAAGTTCGGAATTGGAGAAATTTGGAATTAGAGAAATTTGGAACTCGAGAGATTTGAAATAGGAGAAATTCGGAACTTGAAAAATCTGTAATTGCAAAAATTTAAAAATTTCGAAAATCTATAAATTTACATAAAAACATAAAAATTGCCATTACTCTTCCTACATTCGCTACCTCAACCACCCTCATGCTCCACATTTTACAATAAACCCTAACAGTACACCCACACTACACCTCTCAACCCCTTACTCATCGTCAAACTATCCCGCACACCCAAAGTCGCCCAAGAAAAATTGTTTCTTCTAGAAGCTAGAAAACCTTGAACGAAAAAAAAGAAAACCCATATAAAAGTTAGGAGCAGTACGCAAGCATCGTATGTTTCACAGACCGTCGTACTGCATTTTATTTCTGTTTTGCGCCAATAATAGATGAGCCCTGTCGCTGTTTCTGTCCCTCGAATAGTCGATGCTTGTGCGATCTGGCATTGTTCGCACTCCATCCATTCGCGAGTTCTCGCATAGCTTTCCGGTCACAATGCTTAGTGTTCTTTTTTCTCTTTCCCTTTTTCGTTCTTGCTGTTATCTCCGCGATGGACAGACGCACTAATTAAAGAGCCTCGTCGAGCGGCTTTAACACTGGAACTACCAAAACGGTCAAATGACCGCTTCACAAATTTACTCTTTCAAAATTCTTCAAATGCAAGTTTGTTTCATGTTGGAAACACTTAACTTGTTCTTTCGTTATTTTATTTGCGTATGCACCTCTTAACTGGTATCGATTTTTCTGTTGTAATTATCTTTGATAATTTTCGAGGTCAATTGAAATTTGAATCTATTGTATTTTCCTTATCGTGCACTTTGGTCGATGATTTCGATTCGATATCGGTAGGTGAGATCTGCAATATATGTTGTTATATTGTTACAGTGTTATATGTACTTGTGATGTATGGTGATATGTAGTGAAAGAAACAAACAGCAGTTGATACTTTCAAACAAGAACTTTCAAACAAGAATGTGCTAGAGTTGCTCCATGTAGTAAAAATGCCTCAAAGTGACTTAATTAATAGCAATTAATTCTAAACAAAATACCTCGAAAATTCATGAAACTTTCTAATAAAAAAATGTTAAACTTTCTCTCTTGTTTTACTAAAAACACCTTCAAGTGAACCAATTAATAATTATTAATAATAAAGAAATAACTTGAAAAAATTCATGAAACTTTCTAACAAAAAAATGTTAAACTTGCTCCCTGTTTTACTAAAAACACCTTCAAGTGAACCAATTAATAATTAATAATATTAAAGAAGTAACTTGAAAAAATTCATGAAACTTTCTAACAAAAAATGTTAAACTTGTTCCCTGTTTTACTAAAAGCACCTTCAAGTGAACCAATTAATAATTAATAATATTAAAGAAATAACCTAAAAAAATTCATGAAACTTACTAACAAAAAAATGTTAAACTTGCTCCCTACTTTACTAAAAACACCTTCAAGTGAACTAATTAATAATTATTAATAACAGAGAAATATCTTGAAAAAATAAATGAAACGTTCCAAGAAGAAATTGTCAGAGTCGTACATCAAGTAGTAAAAATGTCCTGCAACGGTGAACGCATCTCGCGTTCAGTCTGCCTGTTAATTTGATTGAAAAGCCGCTTTCGAAGAAATCATCGATAGGGTGTATGTACGCGGCATTCAAACGAAACGATGCCTCTGTGAATTCCGGCTTGTTCGCGATTCTTTGCACGCTGCTCATTCCTCGCACAATGGCTGAATTCGAACGAGGAAAATTGGAGAGACGTTTGATGATGGACGTTGTTGCCACGGCCTTGGTAAAACGTTCACGTTCGTTTATTAAAACTTTTCTTCGAGTTTCGCTCGCAACGCGTCAGCAATATGGAAAAGAAACATTATTAAGCGCCTTCCGATAGAGCGCGGATCTTTTAATGATACTTGGAATGCTGTTGCCACGCGATAACCTATCGATATTTTTACAAACGAGCAGTGCGATTTTCTTGCGTTCGATATGCAAATTATTCCAATAATTTCGAGGACTTTCATGGGGTGTTATGGGTTGATAAACGAATTCTGCTGATCATCGTAAATTTTTTATGGTTTTCTTCTATTTTTGTATTGTGCTATTTTTGTTGTGGAAATGTACGAGTTTAGAGATGAGTTGATTCGTTTGATTGGGGAATGCTGTGGAGAAAGGAGAATGCAATGATCAATCACTTATATGCAACGAAAAATTAATTAATCACTGTGATCAATAGTTAGATATGTAGGAGGGAAAGGAGTGACGAATCCGTCATTTGATCAGTGAATACTGTACAGAGTGTCTCATAACTAATGTAGGTCCCTGAAATGGTAGCTGACGTGATTCTGAATAAGATTTCCCTTTGCAAAAATGGGGTGCGAAGCTTCGTTTTTGAATTATTAAGAAAAAACGCGCTATAATTCCACGCGCTGTATTTCCAAGCGTCATAATTCCACGCGCTGTATTTCCACGCGCCATAATTCCACGCGCTGTATTTCCACGCGCTGTATTTCCACGCGCTGTATTTCCACGCGCCATAATTCCACGCGCTGTATTTCCATGCGCTATAATTCCACGCGCCATAATTTCACGCGCTGTATTTCCACCCGCCATAATTCTACGCGACATAATTCCACGCGCTGTATTTCCACGCGCCATAAATCCACGCGCTGTATTTCCACGCGCCATAATTCCACGCGCTGTATTTCCACGCGCTGTATTTCCACGCGCCATAATTCCACGCGCTGTATTTCCACGCGCTATAATTCCACGCGTTGTATTTCCACTCGCCATAATTCCACGCGCTGTATTTCCACCCGCCATAATTCCTTTAATATAGAAATATATTACAATACTAAACATAGGTATGAATAACAAACTAAATATTAATAAAATAAAACAACACTATTTTATTTTATTATCTACACAGTAATTAATATTCCTTAAAGCCTCCGTGTCACTAAAAGAAATTATCTAGGTCCCCTATGTACACACTCGTATAATTAAGCTTCGAAATTCTGTGTCGGAAACTGTAGGTTAGCCATGAATTTTCACCGGCTTTAATTCCAGCAATAACTCATCCAGCGGATACCCGTTCGAGTCAGCGGATTAAGATTAACACCTTAGGAAACGTCTCTGTGGTGTCTCTGGTCCGATGGAGTGCTTTTATTTCAAATACCATACTATATTACTTTGCCGGCTAGATAGATGTTATTTTAGAGTGACTTTCGTCCAATTTATATGACGCTGTTTGCTGTTCGCACGTCACCGATAGCATCCCAGACTCCAATGAAAATATTTTAATTGGCCATAGTACAGTTACCGACTCCTCCATTTTTAGAACCGAAGAACTATGGAGATCGTCACTATGCCTGTTCAAGTTTTATATAGAATTACAGTGACTTTTTAAGTTTTATGTTGAATTACATTGTGACTGTTCAAGTTTTATGTCGAATTACAATATGACTGTTCGAGTTTAGTATTGAATTACAATGTGACTGTACAAGTTTTGTATTGAATTACAATATGACTGTTCAAGTTTTGTATCGAATTACAATATGACTAATCAAGGTTCATACTGAATTACAATATGACTGATCAAGTTTCATATGGAATTACAATATGACTGATCAAGTTTCATACTGAATTACAATGTGACTGTTCAAGTTTCATATCAAGTTACAATACAACTGTTCAAGTTTTGTATTGAATTACAATGTGACTGTTCAAGTTTTGTATCGAATTACAATATGACTAATCAAGTTTTATAATGAATTACAATATGACTGATCAAGTTTCATACTGAATTACATTGTGACTGTTCATGTTTTGTATTGAATTACAATATGACTGTTCAAGTTTCATATTGAATTACAATGTAACTGTTCAAGTTTCATATTGAATTACAATGTGACTGTTCAAGTTTCATATCAAATTACAATATGACTGTTCAAGTTTCATATTGAATTACAACACGACTGTTCAAGTTTCATATCGAATTACAATATGACTGTTCAAGTTTCATATTGAATTACAACACGACTGTTCAAGTTTCATATCGAATTACAATATGACTGTTCAAGTTTCATATTGAATTACAACACGACTGTTCAAGTTTCATATCGAATTACAATATGACTGTTCAAGTTTCATATTGAATTACAACACGACTGTTCAAGTTTCATATCGAATTACAATATGACTGTTCAAGTTTCATATTGAATTACAATGTGACTGTCCAAGTTTCATATCAAGTTACAATACAACTGTTC